CCTTGCCCAAACTCAAAAAAGCCTATGAAAAAGGTACCAGGGGCATCTAATGGGGCCCCCCACTGACCCTGGGCCCTCAGGCAGTGCCCAAGTTTCCAAATGGTCAGTCCGCCCCTGCGAAGCACTTTACATATATATTGTACATTCACATCAGTCCCTTACCCTCAATGGGTGTACAATCTAAGGTCCCCAACCCTCAAGGGGCATACAATCTAAGGTCCCTAACCCTCAAGGGGTGTACAATCTAAGGTCCCTAACCCTCAAGGGGTGTACAATCTAAGGTCCCTAGCTCACATTCATACATACACATACTAGGGCCAATTTAGACAGGAGCCAATTAACCTACCAGCATGTCTTTGGAGTGTGAGAGGAAACCCACACAATTACAGGGAGGACATGCAAACTCCATGCAGGAGGCGCCGTGGTCAGGAATCAAACCCATGACCCATTTACTGCAAGGCAGATGTGCTAACCACTAAGCCACTGTGCCACCCAGTACAGATATACAGATATCTTCTCTCCCCTTGTAAAATGTCTCCCAGCTCCACTGTCTGCAAACACTACCTCCTGGCTGCTTGGAAGTTCTTCCGGTACAAGGATAAAGGATTGAGCGCAGCACTGTCATTTGAAAGCTGCTACATGTGGCAGTCCTTCTCCTTGTAGATCCCAGGGAGTGCTGCAGTACTTACTTTGTCCTCTTTGCTCCTTGCTTCTCCATGTCTAGATCCCATTCATGCTACACTGCTGAATGTATCCTCCTGAGCCAGCCCAAGGCATTCTGGAGGTGGCCCCTTCTGACCTACGGGACCCCTCCCAGGCACCCGACAGCCTATCCAGCACTCCATCTTCCACCCAACTCCTCTGCCAGCCTGACTCCCATTTTTTATGGGCCAGCCCACAACTTTACCAGGGCCTCCAAACATGGGAATGCCCAAACTCCTATAAACATGCAGATTAGGTCTCCACCCCTTCCTGCTTACCCACTTCTGGAAGGTTCTATGGTCCTCCAGAGTCAGGAGGAGGCGTTAGAGCCACAACCTGTTAAGTTATCCGGCTGACCTGAAATAACCCGACCTCAATTACAGACTCACACAATTACCATGAGTCATACACAATAAATGTACCTAAAATACACTACACTATTCTAGTAGCACACTAGAGAGTGCTACACATTTTTAAGTTCCAAGCAGGGGCGGACTGACAACTAATGGGGCCCCCAGGCAATAGGGGATCATGGGGCCCCTGTGTCCTTGCCCAAACTCAAAAAAGCCAATTAAAAAGGTACCAGGGGCATCTCATGGGGCCTCCTACTGACCCCGGGCCCTCGGGCAGTGCCCGAGTTTACAAATGGTCAGTCCGCCCCTAGGTTCCAAGTCTACATACCTAGCTATGATGAACTTGACGAACTTGATGAAGCCACCCAGATAGCTTGTCTGACACCCAGCTCTCCAGGAAATAGCTGACATACCCTGTGCATCATATGACCAGCCTGAAGACTTTAGAAAAAAGGTATGTACAACAAATTACTAATGCATGGTGTTGGGGTGGGAGGAGAAGGACTTGGGGGCTAAAGGGTAGAGTTGGCTTTAAAGGGAATTCTGTAGTTGGTAATAAAGTAGATGTTTTACTGTGAATATATCAATGTCTAGAGCAGCCATCCTCAACCAGGGTTCCATGGAAGTCTGGGGTTACTCTAAAGATTGTTGAGGAGCAGCGTAACAGAGTGGCCTGTCCACTGACAACCAATGCAGTGGAGCACATCTCTCAGTGACCACCAAAATCTGAGGGACGTTGTGTTCAATCAAGTCCTGATGAAGGGGAAGCATTTGGACCCCTTAAACATGTTAGCTATTTTTTGGCGTGTCCTACTGAATTCTATTGAAATAAAGTTGCATCTGGACCATTTAGCAGTTGTGTGGCTCTTCAGTTTCAACTTTTGTTACATTACACTGCAAGACAAGGAGCCAGTGGAGATCCTTGGGGTGCAGAAGCCAGATTAGTTACATCGACATCAATAATTGAAGATAGAAATACCAACACGATAAACTTATGGGTCCAACACTATTTTTCCACTTTCCTCAACCAATATAGGGGGCACATCTTCCACTGACCACAAACGTTTGAGGGTGCTTCTCATAATTTGTCTGGAAATTATTATTATTTAAAGTGTTACTAAACCCACAACAATAAAATCAGTCTGTATATGCAGTAAAGCATGCTTGTTATACTGTGTGATCCAAGGGCTTATTAATCCGCATTGTGTAAAAAGGCTGCTGTTTGATCCTTTCTTCTCTGATCCTCCCCCTTCTTTTACTGTCTCCAGTCCATCTGATGATAGTACAGAGTACAGAGCCCTGGGAGGCACTCTGCACATGCTCAGTTTGGTGTGTATGGCTAGAGAGGGTTTTTTTTTTTTTTTGGGGGGGGGGTTCATGTGATTGGCACAGGGCCAATCAGCACTGTCCAGACAGAGGGTTATGCAGCCTCATAGGACAATCAGGGGAGAACAACAACGCCTCCTTCAAGCTTTAACGAGTGCTCGACCAGACACTGATAGAACTCACTAGACTGCTATATACTGTTGATACGAAAACGTGTTTCGCGGTTGATATTTACTAAAATAATTAGATTTCCATGTTGTGTGTACTGTGGGAGACCAGACAGGCATGTTGCATTGCTTTTTACTTTATTAATATATATACAATTTACTAATCATAATAATATATCATGAGCTGTAGAGAATATTTTTATCATCAGGGGTTCCCGGAGATCCACAGATTATTACAAGGGTTCCTCCATAATGAAAAATGTTGGGAAAGGCTGATTGAGTTCATTGTTTCCATATAATATAACATCTACTTTATATCCAACCGTTCTACACAAAAGGCATAAAAACCAAAGCTGATTACTGGATAGATATACTAGAACTTACTTTCAATGATAGTTTGACCTTCAGTGACATGACCTTGATGTATCTTTCCCAGTCACCCAAGAAATGAACAGCCCTTTCACACAATTCCAACAATGCCTTCCTTTGCTTTTCTCTCCAGAAGTACGGAGTCATCTTTGTTCATGCAGCATCCGGAGTCCATCTAATTCCTGGTTGGAAATGTCATCTCAGGGATGGCACAATCATCTACATCCTGGTGCCTGTGTGGTTCTTGGGAGTGTTCACAATTGTCTGACACAGATCAGCCCCTTGCTGCAAAGGAACAGTCTAATTATTGGGATAGAAGAGACATGTAGGAAATGCTTCCATCTGCCTTCAGAAGACTGATAACTTCTTCTCAGGCTTGGCACAGACACTGGACTGGAGCTCATGCACAACTTTTTAATAAGAAGAGGTGGAGCTTTTCTGAAAAATGATACAGTTGGTTGATTTATTTGGTGACATGTCCAGAATTTATTCATGAAGAATTGTAAAAGTTAATGAAAGAACAGAAGGGCCTACCTCTTAGTCTAGGTTCACACTACTGCGGTCGGAAATGAGTGCATATTTGCATGCATTCCTGACCAGCACAGAAACGCACTGCATTTTAGCAGATGCCCGGGGTCCCATTAACTAATAATGGCACTGTCAGGAATGGACTGGCCAGCTATGGTGGGACTCACCTGCCTTTTGATCTGCAGTACCAGGGCTGGCCAGCGGGTGTTCCCAGCAATCAGAGACTCAACTTTGCAGCCAGCTAACACCTGTAACTGATTATGCTGGGGTATTTAAGGGATGGCCAGACCCACAGACTCTGCCTTGGTGTGTGTTTGTCCTGGGCCCTGCATCCTGTTTCTGAACCGCTGCTGACTTCTCCTGCTCCGATCCCGGCTCGCTCCTGACCATCCCTCTGTCTGACCCTCTGTACCACGCTGCTTGCTACCTGTTCTGATCCCTGGCTTGTGACCCTGACCAATCTCCGCTTGCTCCCCCTGTACCTACCTGCCCTATTGATATTGACCCGGCCTGCCTGACGACGCTTGCTTGTATGTACTGTTATCTGTGGGTGGTTGGTTTGGTTTGTTTGCACTGTATTATGTTTTAGTATTGCACTGCGTTTATGTTTTGTATTGTTAGTGTTAATAAATTATATTGTTTATAACATATCTGAGGTCTGCGTTTCCCTGCGTCAGTCACACATCTCTGGTCACACCTTGGAGCCCTGACATTACACCAAGGCCAATCCTGACCAGAAGTGGCTGCACAGGGAAGCCATCTTGGCTTGTTGATGGGAAGGATGGATCTGGATGAGGTTGCGTATTTATATCTGCTAGTGTTTGATGACAGGGAGTATGCTTATCAGACTCTGAAGGAGTATCCCCGGGATGAACTGCTAGAATGTATACGGCTCGCTCATGTTCTAGTAGATCAGGGCACAGATTTCTCTATGGTGCAGCCATTGATTCAGGTTTGTGTTGAGTTGGTTTCATCTGGTTCCCCCGAATGCAGGGATGAATTTTTGCCACCATTTAGTGCAGACCAGGTTGAGTCCCTGGTGTGGTTATTAGAGGATGATGTGGGTTACTTTCTGGAGCGTTATTCCACATGTTCACCACAGATACTAAGAGATTGTATAAACGCAGTGCAGTCATTGACCAGACAGGCTTTGTGTAAGCTCAGCTTTGTTCAACCCATACGGCAGACATGGACAGACTTGTTGCACCCAGCCTCAGTCAGCTTACAAAAACCCAGTCCTGCTTCTAACTCTACTCCTGTATTCCCACCAGCTCCTCCAGTTACAGCCCAGTATACTTGGCTATCTACCGCATGTCAGTACCCTGTTCCCACTCGCTGCACCTATCCTGCCTTTAACCCTGTAAAAAAGCCATCTGTAGCAACTGCTCCCTCTCCTGTTCCATCCTCCAGTTCTTCTCTGTCTCCAGCTGCTCCATTCGTTTGCAGACCTGCTTTTACTTGCAGTGCTCCAGTAGTTAAAACCAGAAAAAAGCGAAAATTCTTTCCAACCAATACCATCCTGCCAGTATCCAAACCGGTGAGCCTGCCTTCCGTGACTCAGCCTGAAGTCTCTACTCAGCCTGATGCCTCTACTCGGCCTGATGCCTCTCCTCAGCCGGATGCCTCTCCTCAGCCGGATGCCTCTCCTCAGCCTGAAGCCTCTACTTAGCCTGATGCCGCTACTCAGCATGATGAACTGATCCAGCCCGACGATCCTATTAGGCCAGTTGACTCGATGCCCGCTGTTGATCCAGATGATCCGGTACCTGATCCAGTGCCCGCTGTCGTGCCAATTGACTCAGAGCCTGCTGTCATACCTGGTGACCTGATGCCCGCTGTCGAGCCAGACAATCCGATACCTGATGACCCGGTGCCCACTGTCGTGCCTGTTGACTCGGAGCCCACTGTCTTGCCAGACGACTCGGTGCCCGCTGTTCCGCCAGTCAACTCGGTGCCCGCAGTCTTGCCAGACGACTCGGTGCCCGCAGTCTTGCCAGACGACTCGGTGCCCGCAGTCTTGCCAGACGACTCGGTGCCCGCAGTCTTGCCAGACGACTCGGTGCCCGCAGTCTTGCCAGACGACTCGGTGCCCGCAGTCTTGCCAGACGACTCGGTGCCCGCAGTCTTGCCAGACGACTCAGTGCCCGCTGTTCCGCCAGACGACTCGGTGCCCGCTGTTCCGCCAGACGACTCGGTGCCCGCTGTTCCGCCAGACGACTCGGTGCCCGCTGTTCCGCCAGACGACTCGGTGCCCGCAGTCTTGCCAGACGACTCGGTGCCCGCAGTCTTGCCAGACGACTCGGTGCCCGCAGTCTTGCCAGACGACTCGGTGCCCACTGTCGTGCCTGGTGACTCGGTGCCCGCCGCTTCGTCTGGGGGCCCGAGACCTGTTGCTCCGCCTGAGGGCCCGAGACCTGTCGCTCCATCTGGGGGTCCGGCGCCCGCCGCTCTGCCTGAGGGCCCGAGACCTGTAGCTCCGCCTGGGGGTCCGGCGCCCGCCGCTCCGCATGGGGGTCCGGCGCCCGTCGCCCCGCCTGGGGGTCTGGCGCCCGTCGCCCCGCCTGGGGGTCCGAGGCCTGTCGCCCCGCCTGGGGGTCCGATGCCTGTCGCCCCGCCTGGGGGTCCGATGCCTGTCGCCCCGCCTGGGGGTCCGATGCCTGTCGCCCCGCCTGGGGGCCCGATGCCTGTCGCCCCGCCTGGGGGCCCGAGACCTGTAGTTCCGCCTGGGGGTCCGGCGCCCGCCGCTCCGCCTGGGGGCCCGAGGCCTGTCGCCCCGCCTGGGGGTCCGGCGCCCGCCGCTCCGCCTGAGGGCACGAGACCTGTAGTTCCGCCTGGGGGCCCGGTGCCCGTCGCCCCGCCCGGGGGCCCGGTGCCCGTCGCCCCGCCGGGGGCCCGGTGCCCGTCGCCCCGCCCGGGGGCCCGCTGCCCGTCGCCCCGCCCGGGGGCCCGCTGCCTGCCGCTTCGCCTGGTAGCCCGATGTGCCTCTGCCCGGGGTCCTGCCCGATGTGCCTCTGCCCGGGGTCCTGCCCGATGTGCCTCTGCCCGGGGTCCTGCCCGATGTGCCTCTGCCCGGAGTCCAGCCCGATGTGCCTGCCTCTGCCCGGAGTCCAGCCCGATGTGCCTCTGCCCGGTGTACCGCTGCCCGGAGTCCTGCCCGGTGTGCCAGTCTTTGATATCCCGCCAGTTACCAGACCCGGGCGGTGGAACATTTTTCCCAGCTAGGACTGTTTGGAGCGTCCTGAGGCCGCTCCTTAAGGGGGGGGGTACTGTCAGGAATGGACTGGCCAGCTATGGTGGGACTCACCTGCCTTTTGATCTGCAGTACCAGGGCTGGCCAGCGGGGGGGTGTTCCCAGCAATCAGAGACTCAACTTTGCAGCCAGCTAACACCTGTAACTGATTATGCTGGGGTATTTAAGGGATGGCCAGACCCACAGACTCTGCCTTGGTGTGTGTTTGTCCTGGGCCCTGTATCCTGTTTCTGTCCTGCATCCTGTTTCTGAACCGCTGCTGACTTCTCCTGCTCCGATCCCGGCTCGCTCCTGACCATCCCTCTGTCTGACCCTCTGTACCACGCTGCTTGCTACCTGTTCTGATCCCTGGCTTGTGACCCTGACCAATCTCCGCTTGCTCCCCTGTACCTACCTGCCCTATTGATACTGACCCGGCCTGCCTGACGACGCTTGCTTGTATGTACTGTTATCTGTGGGTGGTTTGGTTTGTTTGCACTGTATTATGTTTTAGTATTGCACTGCGTTTATGTTTGTATTGTTAGTGTTAATAAATTATATTGTTTATAACATATCTGAGGTCTGCGTTTCCCTGCGTCAGTCACACATCTCTGGTCACACCTGGGAGCCCTGACAGGCACCCCCATGGCGTCATTTCTCAGCACGATTAAAAAATGTCAAGTGCTTTGTTTTTCTCATGGGTACATCAGCCCATTCAAATTAATGGGTTGCTGTACCCGCATCGTGTTCATGGAAACGCATTGCGCATTAGAGATGAATGGGGGGGCCAACTTGACTCTTTCATATACCATATAGAGCAGGGTGTCCAACCTTCTGACATTCCTGGGTCATAGTGGAAGGAGAGGAATTGTCTTGGGTCACACATAAAATACATTAAAAATAAAGCTGTGGGGGGGACAAATTAAATCTGAGGAGGGTGCAACCCACCCCAGCACCCTCCTAGACTCAGCCATGCAGCACTTACTCGCCTGGTGCTATGGCAGGAGTCTCTGCATTTGCCACAGCTGGTGCTATGCCAAACACGGCATCCCTGCCATCCCTCCAGACATGCCTGAGCCACATGCTGAACTCTTTTGGGCCACAGGTTGTACACCCCTGATATAGAGCTTATAGTCGCAACTGCAAAAGAACACTTAGAGATCAACATCATTATACAAAATACACTTGGTCCCGCCCTCCATGTCATGTGATTCAGGTGTTCCAATCCCCTCTATGGTCACAGGTGTATACAATCAAGCCCCTAGGCATGCAGACTGCTTCTACAAACATTGGTGAAAGAATGGGTCGCTCTCAGGAGCTCAGTGACTCCAAGCGTGGTCCCGTGATAGGTGGCCACCTGGGCAATAAGTCCATCCGTGACATTTCCTGGCTACTAAATATTCCACGCTCAACTGTTCGTGGGATTATAACAAAGTGGAAGCAACTGGGAACAACAGGAACTCAGCCACCAAGTGGTAGGCCACGTCACATGACAGGGCGGGGTCAGCGCATGCTGAAGCGCACAGTGCGCAGAAGTCACCAGCTGTCTGCAGAGTGAATAGCTAAAGACCTCCAAACTTGGTGTGGCCTTCAGATGAGCCCAACAACAGTGTGTAGAGAGCTTCATGGAATGGGTTTCCATGGCCGAGCAGCTGCATCCAAGCCTTCCATCACCAAGTGCAATGCAAAGAGTCAGATGCCGTGGTGTAAAGCACGCCGCCGCTGGACTCTAGAACAGTGGAGACGTGTTCTCTGGAGTGACCGATCACGCTTCTCTGTCTGGCAATCCGATGTGTTTGGGTTTGGCGGTTGCCAGGAGAATGGTACTTGCCTGACTGCTTTGTGCAAAGTGAAAATTTGGTGGAGGGGGGATTATGGTGTGGGGGTGTTTTTCAGGGGTTGGGCTTGGCCTCCTAGTTCCAGTGAAGGGAACTATTAAGGCATCAGCATACAAAGACATTTTGGACAATTTCATGCTCCCAACTTTGTGGGAAGAGTTTGGGGATGGCCCCTTCCTGTTCCAACATGACTGCACACCAGTGCACAAAGCAAGGTCCATAAAGACATGGAGGAGCCAGTTTGGGGTGGAGGAACTTGACTGTCCTGCACAGAGTCCTGACCTCAACCCCATAGAGCACCTTTGGGATGAATTAGAGCGGAGACTGCGAGCCAGGCCTCCTCCCCCGACATCAGTGCCTGACCTGACAAATGTGCTTCTGGAAGAATGGTCCAACCTTCCCATAGACACCCTCCTAAACCTTGTGGACGGCCTTCCCAGAAGAGTTGAAGCTGTTATAGCTGCAAAGGGCGGGGCCAACTCAATATTGAACCCTACGGACTAAGACTGGGGGGCCATTAAAGGTCATGTGCGTGGAAAGGCAGGCGGCTCAATACTTTTGGTAATATAGTGTAGGTTCTATTACTGCTGCTATACTCAAACATTGTAAGTTGGGTTCATGAATCTCTTTGTATCCATTGTCATCCTATACATTCTGAAATGTATAAATAGCACAGACATGTGTTTGGATGTTGCTGCCATCTAGTGGCTAATATAATGCATTACCAATCATAGCATGGAATTGTTTTATCTGCTTTATCACAGTGCAGTATAATCCATGTGTGCACCATCGGAGGTCTATCCTTTTGGTGATTGTAAGGTTATGTGAAGTTTACACGCTATGGTCAGGTGATCCTTTTACAAATGTTTTTTTAATTTTGAAAAAGGAGTGTATATCCTAAGCACAAGGAGCACTACTTCAAGCAATCGTTTTCCAAAATGGACACCCAGACAGTGTAAAAACACAAAAAAGCAAGTCAGAGCTGCAACACTCACCCCTAAAGTGTTCCTAAACCCAAGACCCTGCATTCACTATATCTGGTCTCCCCGGACCCTGCATTCACTATATCTGGTCTCCCCGGACCCTGCATTCACTATATCTGGTCCCCCCAGACCCTGCATTCACTATATCCACTCTCCCCGGGACCCTGCATTCACTATATCCGCTCTCCTTAGACCCCGCATTCACTATATCCTCTCTCCCCGGAGCCTGTATTCACTATATCTGGTCTCCCAGGACTCTGCATTCACTATATCCGGTCTCCCCGGACCCTGCATTCACTATATCCACTCTCCCCAGACCCTGCATTCACTATATCCACTCTCCCCAGACCCTACATTCACTATATCTGCTCTCCGTGGACCCTGCATTCACTATATCCGCTCTCCCCGGACCCTGCATTCACTATATCCGCTCTCCCCGAACCCTGCATTCACTATATCTGGTCTCCCCGGACCCTGCATTCACTATATCTGGTCACCCCGGACACTGCATTTATTATATCTGGTCCTCCACAGTACATACAACATGGAAATGCAATTATTTTAGTAAATCTAAACTGCTAAATACCTTTTCTCATCAGCAGTATATAGCAGTCTTGTGACTTCTATCAGTGTCCAGCAGAGCACTGGTTAACGCTTGTAGGAGGAGTTTTCATTCTGCTATAGGAGGATGCAGAACCCCTGACCTCTGTCTGGGCACTGCTGATTGGCCCTGTGCTGATCATGTGCACTCTCCCAAGAAAAAAAAAAAACAACTCTCTAGCAATACACATCAAACTGATTATGTGCAGCTTACCCCCAAGGCTCTGTTCCATCAGCAGATGGATTGGGGACT